AAAAACTTCTACCTCACTGATGAGTTTGATTATTCTCGTTACCTGTTTGCTGGAATACAGTGTGGATATTATAAGGAGAAGTAACATGTTAATCAATTCTGGGAGTAAAGGGTTAAGTCACTAAATCAGGCCAACCAACTTACATGTAAAACTCACCTACAGATAGGAACAACCATCTGATTGTCTTCTGTTTTGATAAACAGACCTTTAGCAGTAAGAGCATCAAGCACAACTTTCCTTGCATCAAATCTCTTCAAACCCTAAAATTAAAAGCAAAAAAAGGTAATGATAAATGTTTCACCAAAGTTGTTTCCAAGGATAGTCACTCATTGTATATTTGCTTCAACCGGATGTCTTTTCTCAAACAGTCTTCATCAATTCAGAAGTACTTGTATCACCCACTTTTTCAACAATCCAATCAGTACATACATGTAAACTGTAGCAATCTGCAGTGTTCTCCTTTTCAACCAGTAGCCCATAAAATTTACCACCTATAAAATGTTCCTCTCACCCAATAAATCCCTTGAAATATTTGAAAATTCAACAGGTAGCACAACTGCTCTACAGATTTAAAATTTGTTTTACCTGTCATGCTTAAAATAAGACAGAACACTGTACACTGTACTTGTAATTCTGCAAATTAGTCAGTCATCATATTGTGATATATGCCTGTCTGTATTTTCTGCTTGTCTTGTCTATATAACTGTTACATTTAGTACAACAAGACAGCTTTGTAGAAGAATAGCATACAGTGAGTGGCAAATTATTGTTCAAGCTGTGACAATATCACACTCAATGGAAGACTTTATTATAATCTAGTGTATGCGTAAATGTGGGCACGGCAAGTATAAATACTTTACACAATATTCTTCTAACCACACATGTACATGCAGCAGATCTGAAAGCAGCTTACTGCAAAGTGCTTGAAATCTGGATAAAAGTCTTTTAGATCTTTGATGTTACCATTATCATCAATCATAGTGACAAAGTCAAGGCTGTGTCTCTGACCCACTCCATAATCATTATGATCATGAGCTGGTGTGATCTTGACAGCACCTAAACAAAAGAGCATGAGAAGAGTTCAAGCACAGTTATGCGGCAATTTCCTAAGCTGATCACTACTTCTTAAACTCAGAAAACCATGGAAACTTTGATTTTATTCTGAAAAGTCAATTGAGTAATGGATTAAGGACAAACAAGCAAACCTAACAACCTCACTCAAATTCATTTGGCTGTTTACAGGTTAGTTTTGTGACACTTATTGGAAATACAGTAAAATTCCAAATATATTTCTGATGATGAGTTTCACTCTAAATAACCAATCCTTTCTCAATGTTAAAGTAAATTTTAGTTATTTAAAAAGCCTATGTTGAGCCTGTACATGCACAGTGCAGTTGCCACTAATGGTAGAGATCACACAGTCACTTTTCATGATAAAATGTAGTTGGTTGTAAACAGTGACTCTATGAAAATTAACGTTAAAATTTAATGTCCATGATCAGCCTTAACCTAGAAAGTGAAGGGGACACTGAACATTATCACTCAAGCACCTTTTATCACTTTTCTATAGCCTCTGGACTAAAGAGTGCTTAAGGGCATGGACAATTCCTTTTGCCTTTTGTGGTAATTATCAACACCATACACAGTGGTATTGGACAACACAAAATTATAGTGTTGCTGGTTCTTGGGTTCATGTGAGTACGTACCTGATCCAAACTCAGGATCAACCATATCATCACACACAATTGGCAGCTTGCGATTACAGAAAGGATGGAGAGCAAATTTTCCATGAAGGTGCTAAAGATACATTAAAAAAAAAACAATCATTACAAAATTTCATTACAGTTGAAATTCACAAGTTTTTGTACTCAGTGAGAACTTGAATTCCACATGACTTTGTTTTACTCCTCAAGCATTGATTGGAAAAGGCGGATCTCATTTTTTCTATCAATTGGATAATTGTTAATACCAGTTACATGTATATCCTCCTAACCTTGTATCTCTGATCATTTGGATGCACTGCAATGGCTGTATCACCCAACATTGTTTCCACACGAGTGGTGGCAACAATCAGCTTCTCATCTGCAATAAGAACATAAAATATGTGATTAACACTATCCTCTGCAGCATCTCTAACTTTCATATTGGGAAGTTGGAAATGAAAAATCAACCAAAGATTTTGACTTATTTTAACGAAGAAACGAGTTATGGATGAATCAAAATTCTTATTTGAGAATTCTATTATAATAATAAAAAAGAATTACCTGAACCTTCCACAGGGTAAGCAAAATGCACCAATACTCCAAACTCTATTTTATTTTCATAACCTGGGACAGGCAGCAGTGTTCTTCCAGGTAATTCCTTTTTGTCAACCTAAAATTTTAGAATTTTGCCAACTTATTAAAACAACAAAAAAAATGCACTAAGTGTTCAAAAATATCTTATTTATTCAAGAATATCAATATCTCTTGGGTTTGCAAACCAGGGATTCAACTTAATCCTAAAAAGTAAAATGGGGATGTACTTTAGGTATAACAATCATAAATGTCTACACTAGAAGTCTTGAAATACATACAAATAAATTCTTTATCCAGAAATAATGGTGGTAAGTTCTAAAGGAACTGTGGTTCTGCATCAGTGGGGGTATCATTCAAGATTGACAACATTGCTTTAATACCATTTGTAGCAATTACTCTTTTAATTTCTACCCTCTGCCATAATTCTTTCATGTTTCCTTACACCCTGCAGATATTGTTGCTGGATCTATATGAAGTGAATTCAATTTTAATTGAAATATTTACCTCAATATCAGAGATGGCAGAATTCAAAGTACATGACCAGTTGACCAGCCGTCTGTTTCGGTAGATGAGTCCTTCATCATGGAGTCTAATGAATGCTTCCTTCACAGCCCTGCTGAGTTTCTGATAAGATGAAACACAAACAAAAACGTGTAAATAAATAAATGACACGATTTTAGCTGGAAGATGTACATTTCATTGTAAACAAATTAAGACTGAATACCTCTTTTCTTAAAGAGTATTGCCTCTCATTAAATTAACTCCTTCACTGCTACAATCTTGTTAGTAAATCTTCTTTCTGCCTGCTATACAATTCTCACCATGTTAACTCAGAGAATTTAGTACTGGATCAATTAATAAATTATCCCTGATTGATGTCTTCCTTTATTTTCATAACTAGTCTGCTTGATATTATATTTGATATTGAAAGGAGAAATTCTTTCTTGGTCACTCATGGGAGTTAAAGGGTTAAGATTAAAAGTCAAAAGTGCCAACCTAATCTCCTAAAAGTGGACAAGTTGTGTATTGTCTGACTATATAAAACAAAAAAACAAACAAACAAACAAACAAAAGTTCACCCACAGGATCCATAGTGAAACAAGCTCTATCCCAGTCAACAGAAACTCCCATCATTCTCAGCTGCTGATAGATACGATCGCCCTTTCTGTTGAGAAAATGAATTTACATATTTTAGAAATCACTTTTAATTTCTACATTTGTACTTTTACTTTGTAAAATCTCTGGTTGTACAATGATATTTTGTTGTGGAACTTGGAAAACAAAGAACATCAGAAATATCTGTAGAATATCGATGGTAGTCACAGAAAAAGCCAGTCATATGTAGAAAAATGAAGCTAAAATTATACAAACAGCAACAATTGTTAAATTTGGGGTTTTGAGGTTTGTCCATCATTGTGATTGGATATTACACAATTCACCTGTCAGAATCAAAACAAAGTGTTTGTAATTTTCTAAGTTTTATGGGAAAAAGTCTATCAGGTGCTACAAACTTTCAGAGTCAACTTTTATTTGCCAACAATGACAGGAAAAAAACTTACTCATTCTTCCATTTCCACACCGCTTCTACAAATTTCTCTCTTCCCAAATCATGTCGTGATAGACCTTGTTCACGCATCAACTTCTTTTCCACCACAACCTAAAGAAACAAAACATTCATCCAGTAAACTATTGTCAAGAAGTATTAACTGCTTTTAAAAATAAAGTTATCGAGTAAATATTAAATTTATTTAAAATGAAAGATACAGTCTTCTTTTGGTTTCTTTTCACGTTATCTTTGCCATTCCCAAAAATCAATGTTTAACCCTCCGACCCCTAAGTGACTAGCATCTAATTTCTTTCTGCAATATTACCCCTGAGTCACACGTTCAGTTCATCAGAACAAAGGAAATGAGGAAATGATCACTAACTCAAGAAGCTGGTGATTGTTAAACAAATTCTCTTTGACAATTCCCTAAAAAATGTATGGGGTACAGTATCGTGAATATGTATACTGTTGTTAGTGTGTAAAGAGTGAAAAGGAATTAAGTCTTTCCATGGAATTACATGCAGGACTGCCTGAAAGAAGAGTAAAGCACTGACTAAAAGTGATCTAACTCTTAAAGTACTGTCCCACGATGTACATGTTGAGTTCATTCAAAATCTGACAAAGTCAATTATCCATGGAATTATCAGATTTATCGCAGCCATGAAAGATTGTAGGGTCAGTAAGACTACTGTGGTTAACTAATAAACTTGTAGAAATTATTATTAGGACCTCCTCCTCAAAAATTCAATTTCATTACTTCATCCATAATTCTATCAACTAGAAGGTGCAAGGGTGAAGGGGTTGACACTATAAAACAAATTATGTTTAAAAGCAAGAAGCATTGAGAGAGAATTATACAAAATATATCAAGTGCTGAAGGGTTCAAATACCTGTGTGGCTATTCCTGCATGATCACACCCTGGATTCCATAATGCTGTCTTTCCAATCTGACGATTCCTAGTTAGAGAAATCACATTCTTATTAGTTTACAAATAAACAGGATTTGGTAGGCTAATAATTTATGGTATATCAACAAAGCCGAGTAGTGGTTTATATAATTGTAGCATTGATAAAGATGTGGTTTTGTAAGTTAAAGAAGTCAGTCTCCAAATCCAGAGAGACACTACACTAATCATGGCCAAAAATAGGCAATTTTCTTACCATCTTGTTATGCAGTCTTCAACAGCATTAGTGAGGGCGTGGCCAAGATGAAGTGACCCTGTCACATTGGGTGGAGGAATACACATCATAAATAAACCTTTTGGATTGGGCTCTTGAAGGCTCTTTTGCGCTGTTTATGATGAAAAATGCAAACAATGTTACAAAGTTTACAAGGTAAGTTGCTGAAATTTACTATCTTTAATCAGCAGGTGTTATGTTTTAATTGCACTTGTAAATTCTAAATCAGTGAAAAACGAAGAACAGAAAAGGAAGTTCAAAACTAGTAAACTGTGTCATTTTGAATTTGTAGCAAAAAAGTTTATTAATTAATTTGGACTCATCTTACCCCATATTCAGGCTTGAAAAATCCCTGGAAATAAAATTGCATGCTTTCAGTGAAAAGGTGCAAGTAACATAATTATTGTAAACATATGATTTCAAATTATTAAATTTTCATATCATATCTTTACTATTGAAATATGCCTGTTTTAGGAATTTGATTTGACGAGGCCCTGATTTTAAATTAATCCACCGCAAAACTCATTTAATTTAATGTTTCTGAAGAGGAAACAAGTAAGTTGAAAGAAAAGATAATCATCTGATTGAATAATGCAACTTACTATAAACAATCTCTCTCAGGCTCTGAGCAATTGTTGTCAATTATGAAAAAAATTTGATACTGCACTACACAACTGAATACTGATGAATCAAAAACCTGTTTTTTACTGAGTTTTCTGATAATCCCATAACGATAGCTTATCTATAAAAGCAAAAGATCCATCCCCCTTCTGGTTTACTGGCCAAGTAATTCACTTTGAATGTTGGCAGAGCACTAGTAAATTATAAGTGGTACCCGATTGACAAAATTTTCAAGTGCTCTCCAAACATCCTACACAGATTATCATGCTCCAACTGCTGTAAAAATTTCAAGTCAAAACTTTAGTTCCAATACTTGCTTACTTCCTTTTCCCACCAAGCATACCAAGAAGCTTCCACATAAACAGGACTGTAACTATCAGGCATAACTCCACTGACATCTACATGTTACAAAAAAAGAACGAAAACATGTTAAATCCTCCATAGGGCTACCCCATACAATACTGATAAATAACAAATGCTGGCATGAGGCCATGTACATAACTCTCACACTTCAAATGTTCACAAGTTTCTTATTGAGAAGGCTCAACTTGAAAATGCTGCAATAGTTAATTACAAACTATGTAATGAGAGTCAAACATTTTTATTGAATTCACAGTGTAGTATACATGCGCTATCAGAAAAATACAAGTTACATCAATCAAATATTTCACCTTTCTTTTCTCCTGGAGCTGTTGGTTTGTCATACACAAAAACTTTCTTGGTTGTTTCTTTTTTCTTTTTATCCTTCTTTTTCTACATGAAATAAAAGTTGCAAATATAAAATATGCATGGTAATTCTTATAGATTTTAAAGTTCTTATCACTAACCTTACCTTAACCCTTTAACTCCCATGATCTGATTATCAATTCTCCCCTCTAACTGCTTCACATTTCCTTGAAAATTAGTTTAGAGAATTTGGTGTCAGAGAAAGACAATAACTTCTACTTTATAAATTTTGGTGTTCTTATTACCTGTGTGCAGGAGAATTTACATGATAATCACTTCTAGGAGTTAAAGGGTTAATTATCTTTGGAGAGACCTAGCAACTTAAAAGTATCTGGGTTCACTAGAATAATCACTGTACAAGTAAAACTCCTAAAAAGACAAAACACTGTTACCCCTTCCCTATCATTTTTATGGGTTCAAGTTAAGAAGGGTGACCCACCCTCCCTCCAAAATCCCCTTCCCTATTCACAGGGCTGATGCAATATTGTGAAAGCTGTTTACAAGTGGAGACTTCAAGGATGTTCTTTTGCAGCAGCCATTCCGGAGTAAACTAGGACTTAGCAATAATCCGAAAAATTTCTATTATTCAATCACTTGGTACGAAAAATAGTCACATTTCAAATCTTCGTGCATCGTGGTCGAGGATTGTACTCCGATCGTGGTAGTTTTCTTCCCCCGAAACTTACTAAAACTTCCCATGTTTACAACGAGAGCCTCGATCCTTTAAAAAATAGGGTCAAATTGAAGGAAGCTATAAAATTACCTGGTTCTGACCCTCCATCTGAGCTGCCTCCTTCTCCTTTTTTGGCGAATTTTTCCAACTTTGCCTGCCTTTGGGCCTCTTTCTTGAGCTGACTGGCGGTCTTCTCCACCGCGCCGTTGGCAGTTGCACTTCCCGGATTTTCCATGGCGCTAGAATTCAATCTGGCGAAAAATCTTTGTGAGAAAGTATTTAAAAGAAACTGTGAGCTATTTTTAGTCCAAATTCCAGAGGTTGATGAAATCAACCGAGCAAATTTCATAGACTTTCCACGCTGCCGGCTTCCGCCATTGATTGTCCGCCAGCAATGGTTCATGGGAATATTGGAGTTTTCTTGGAACGATGGGAAGAATTTGGAGCTGAAGAAGATAACGAAAATTTCTTAACTTCTTAGTGTGGACAACAACATTCCCCTTATTTTTCAGTGAACTGATCTCAGAGAGACTCTCATTCTGTAAGGAAATATAAGCGCTTTAGGAACAATTTGTGAATCGAGAGCGGGGGAGAGGAAATTATGTCTAGTAACAGTGTGTTCCAGGCACCCATTCATAGCTACTTACAACTTCCGGCCACGAAACTTGCATCAAAAATTCGCCGATTAGAAATTGGTGTTGAGGAACTTTTGCAAGTATTCATTGACAGGATAAATGCAGTCAATAGTAGCATCAATGCAGTGGTCGCCAATCGTTTCTCAGAAGCTTTGGCTGAGGCGAGAGAGGTCGACGAGGAACTTCATAAGATGACTCAAATTCAGAGAGACGAACTGGAGAACGAGAAACCCTCTGCTGGGTGTGCCATTTACCGCCAAAGAAGCTTTTGCGGTCAGAGGCTTGCCTAATAGTGGTGGTCTCGTGGCTCGTAAAGACTGCATAGCCGAAGAAGACGCAGTTGTTGTGGGTCGTTTACGACAGGCTGGAGCTATCCCAATTGCCCTTTCCAACTGCAGTGAATTATGCATGTGGTGGGAGTCAGCAAATCGGGTTTATGGAAGGACTAGCAATCCATTTAACAGGTCCAAAATAGTTGGGGGTAGCTCTGGAGGAGAGGGTGCTATCATTGGAGCAGCTGGATCAGTATTCGGCGTGGGATCAGGTTAAAATTGTTATTGCATTTACTTACTCGCTCATTAATTCATGTCAATCAGTCAGTCAATCAATCAAGCAGGTAAATTTCTAAAGAACCTGTGGTGCTGCATCGGTGGGAGAGTATAACAGGGTAATTTAGTGTTATCAATTGGGTTGATAATGTAAATTGGCCATCATAAAGAGTTTCAAAGCTGATGTTTTGATTGTTAGCCCTTTGTCTTAGTGTTCTGACCAATCAGTCTACTAGTCAAGGTAATTTGGGATTATCAACTGAGTTGATAATGCAAATTTTCTACCTTTAAGAGTCAAGAGTTTAGCTTCGAAACTTTTAAAGGTGGTCAATTTACATCATCCACTCAGTTTATAATACCAAATTACCTTGTTATACCCTCCCACTGACACAACACCACAGCTTCTTTAGAAACCTACCCTCTATGTCAATATGTTAGCCAGTCAATTAATTGGCTAGTCAGCCATTGAGTCAGACAGTCATTCAGGTAGTCTTTCCTCATTTGCTCAGTTTTTTGCTACTTATTTATTTCTTTTTGTTTTTGTCTCTGCTCGTTCATTCATCCATGGGGCTATACATTGATCAATCATTTGGTCATCCCTTTCCTTTGTTCATAAACATACAAATTCAAACACTTATCTAAACCAAACTTTACTCAAACAAACTGCAGTCAGTCAATAAATTAAACATTAATTTGTTCTGCAATCAATCTGTTATCTCTTATTTTTAATTATTATTCTTGTAGACATTGGTGGCAGTATAAGAATGCCGTCATTTTTCACTGGAATATTTGGACACAAGCCTAGTCCAGACATTGTACCCAATGCTGGTCAGTTTCCTGATGCATCAGGTAACAGACAGCAGTTCTTGTGCACTGGGCCTATGTGCCGATATGCAGAGGACCTCAAACCTCTTCTGAAGGTATGCAACTTTTAGATACTTCACTTAAACACTATGTTTGATTAAATCACTAGTATATATAAAAAAATTCTTACCTCTGATTGGCTAAGAGAAATGCATTTTCAGGTAACAAAATGAACGAGATTTAATTCAGTGCAGAGAAGGGTAATTCAGTGCAAACAAGTGATACAAGAAAATTTAGTGCAAACTGTTTTGGGGGCTTAGAAATATTTTGCAGTATAAAAAATTTGTAAAAAGTTAGGAAATTACACAAGTTTGCATTTTGATTTTGTAAAGTCTAGGTGGTCTTTGTTAAATTTTTTGAGATACAGGAGGGCAATGAAGCTACTATGCTTTGTACAAACTCATGGCAACCATACTTGGTTGGGTACATATCAAAGAGCTAGTACCAGTCCTCTCTCCCTTCATGTTGGAACACTCATCTGGTTATAATAATATTATTGTTGTCACTAGTAACTAGGTAGAAGCTTTTAAGGTCTACATGTTCAGCTGAACATGTGATGTCTTAAATCTCTCTGATAAGCTATTCACCAAAATGCTTGAAGATTAAAATCACATTTTTAACTTTTAGGTTATGGCAGGAGATCAAGGAGCATCAAAATTGAATCTTGCAAGGGATGTAGATGTTACAAAGCTGAGATATTTTAGCATTGAGGATTGTGGAGGACACTTTTTGATATCAAATGTTGATCCTGAACTAAAGCAGGCCCAGCAATATGTCTGTCAACAACTTGAGGAAAAACTTGGTGTGGAAGTAGTGAAACTTAAAATTGAAAAACTTTCAAACTCCCTTGAGATTTGGTCATCGATGATGTCTTCTGGAGCACAAAAGTCATTTTGTTATTACATGGGTAACCAAGTGTCAGAAGTTAATCCCTTCTGGGAACTTTTGAAAGCTTGTATTGGACTCTCTAATCACACACTTCCTGCAATTGGTTTGGGCATGCTGGAAAAATTTGAAAGTTTAACACCTAAAAGGGTATCAGAGTCTTTCATTCAAATGGCTGAGGAGCTAAGACTGGAACTTGAAGGTATTCTAGGGGAAGATGGAGTCTTAATCTATCCCTCTCACCCGTCAGTGGCTGTCAACCATTGCGTTCCCTTGTTATTTCCTTTTAATTTCTCATACACAGCTATTTTTAATGTTCTTTATTTCCCTGTAACTCAGTGTCCTGTTGGGCTGGGAAAGGCAGGCTTACCTCTTGGAATTCAGGTGGCAGCAGCAAAGGATAATGACTGTCTAACCATTGGTGTTGCCATGGAGATTGAGAGGCTATGTGGTGGTTGGGATGGGTTATTTAAACAAAAACAATCTGGTCTGAACATTGATCAATAAAAAACAACATTTTACTCTGAATTAAGTTTGCATTAGAAACAAAATACACCATATTTTTGACACAATAATAAATCAACATATTTTAATAAAATTGTAGTATACCCAAAAGCACAAGATTATACTACTTATTGTAAACTAAAAGTTGTGAAATAAGCTACCTGTATTTTAGAAGAAAATCCTATCTTTCTTTTTTTTTTTAATTAACATTTTAGAAATGTTTAATTTAGAGTGAAATGTAATTCAGGATTTCACTATATTTTATGGTTAGTTTAATGACCTCTTGCCATGTCAGTCAGTGAGATACAAAACTGAAACCAGTTGTGACTTGGTTACAATTATTGTCTCATTAAAGACAGTTATATATATTCACTTTGAGTTCTCAGTGATTCCATGGGAAATTTCCTTTCTTTCTGCCAGGCATAGAGAGTTCTTTGACTCTGGATTGAGAAATGCCCTATTATGAGGGAACAGTGTAAAATATTAATTATTTACCACATCATGAAGGTCTTAAAGGTAAATGACAAATAGTCATATAAAAGACTATGAATGTAGCTAAAAAAAAGAGAGGCCTGAGGTTTCTGAGGGTCACAATTTGCTGCTGTCAAAATGGTATCTGAAAGATTGCATGAGAGTCTCCATTTCTTCTCTTAATGGCCTCGGGCCAAAAGTAATTTCGTAATAAGACGCTTCAAACGGCGCGTGAGGGTGAAAATAAACCACAAATGCATTGATTAACATTTCATTTAACTATACAGTTGTATAGATTTTGTTTGTCTTATGTCAACAATTATTAACCACGATCACATAGTGTGGTCTGTTTGTGAGTTCACAATTCGCTGCTGTTAAAATGGTATATGAAGGATTTGGAAATCCTTAGAAGCAAATTTTAATCATAGCGGAACTTAAACACATTCATTCAAGGGCAGTTTATGCGTGACTACTAGTACAATTAATTGCTGTTTTATTTAGACAAGACTAACAAACAAAATGAGTAAGCCTTTAATCGCTTCTTCCTTATGACAATTTCACTTTACCTCAAGGTTAATCGCTTTCTTCAATGCGGTGAACACATTCATGTTCCCAATCTCCTTTTCAAACTCTGAAGCCAGCTGTTCACTCACGTCTGCTAATTCGCCAGCTGCACTTGCCAAGCTGGAGGTCTTTCTTACCGCTTCACACAGTTTCCGATTTCGATTCCCATGAGCCTGGCAAACAAGATGTTAACAGTGCATCAGAGATAAGCCAAAACAACTCCCATATACCCTAGAAACAATCAAACACTTATGGGTAAAAAAAAATATCAATTTGGTAGATTATAGTTTTTCTGTTTCCCTTCAAAGAGCTAAGATTCCAAATCCCTATTCAACCAGAAACAACTGACAAAATAATACAACTGATTTGCCCATAACTAGATACTATCTAATTTTAAATTTTGGAAAATGAACAATCAATCCATGACCATAATTATTTCACTTACCGAGTTGGGCTCATGAGGGTTGCCAGTAACACCTGCTCCAGGATCTTGAATGAGGCAGCCGTTCCTGCCAGTTCTTTCATTGTCTGGGAAAGGAAAAATCATCAAAAAGAAAAATGTAAAAAACATAGGCATGCTATACACCCAAGAGTTTCACTTTTTATGGTGGGTTGGACAGGGCAAGACACTGAATTTCATGATCTCGATGTGTTGACCTCTTATTAACAGCCACCGAACAATTTGACGTCGCAGTTTACCGCCTTCCAGCAAGCGATCAGCGAGTACCCAAGTTCTACCTTACTACCTTAACAACGTTTGATTTTTGACGTCTGAATCGGTGTAAGATCCGCTATATTCACTAAATTTAAAAAATATGTTTAGATCTTGGACCGGATTAAACAACAGGTCATGTACGTTTGCCGTTTACTTTACCGCCATCTCGTTACAAGCGTTAAACAAGGAAAACGATATGATTTCTTGCGAGGAACCTGCTAAAATATACAATGTTGACAGCTTGGTGTCAGTAAATACTTGTGACATGGCGAAAAGAAAAAAAATTATTTCGGCAAAATTCAGCTTAGATTCTGGAAAAGAAGTTTCTCATTATCTTTAGATTTAAACCTCACATTTCATCCCTATGACACTTGTATTTTCTGAGATCTTTCAAAAGACTTCATTTACATTGAAGCAGTCGCACTGACATATGCTTCGACGATGTTAACGAGAGAAAAAAAATGAGAAATGTGTTTTTTATATTGCTACAAGCGTTAAAATAAGGAAAAAAATTCTGAGGGCAAGCAAGGAACTGAAACCTGTAATTAGCAATGTCGGAAGCGTCATGTCAGTAAATACTGCACGAAATATGGACAATTTTGTACTCGTCCCACGCTCGTGACTAGACGGAAAAAATGCATTATTTCATCACCGCCTCAAAATTCACCATCTTTCTTATTCTAGATAAACAATTTTCTTAAAATCGTTTAGATTCATACTTGACACTTCATCACTGTGACACCTGTTAGTTGTTTCTAAGATTTTCCAAACAAATCAATTTAAGTCATAAAAATCATTTTTACAAGTATTGGCTCTCTGGTAAACAAAAGGCGATATGAGTTTGGTGCGAGTGAAACCACCCGCATTCATAACAAAGAAAGGAAATGGACGTAGCCAAGCACGATCAGACCAAACAGCTGAATAAAGGGGTTAAGTTTGATTTGAAATTGGTGTTGTGTCGGTGAAAGAGTATAAAAAGGTAATCTGGTATATAATCAAATGAGTTAATAATGTAAATTGGGCACCGTTAAGAGTTTCAAAGCTGACGGTTCGAGCAGAACAAACAACTCCTGCTATATAGTACAGATTCCAACATCGAAAAACAAGAGTTTTCATGAAGTTCGTTATATGAAAAGTTGAATGTTTTAAACACAATCAGGAAAGAGCCGCTTAGCCATTTACGGTTAACGAATTCCCCTGACTTAGACCTAAACAAGGTAGTATTTAAGGCGTGAAACTTTTGTGTTATATTTGCGATTCTCACTTTTTTGTTCGTTTTTGTGGCTTTCTAGAAACTAAACCAATAATACTCAGACTTCGGCCAAAGGAAAAAGCTGTCCTGTGGATTTTGAAAATACGGATGTAGTCCGAAGCTTCGTGAATCACAAGATAAAATGAATTTCTAACTGATACTTCGAACCATATCACCAAATTACGACAGTGCGAAGTAGTCATTGAGAAGCAAAAGAAGCACCTGTAACTGTGGTCATTGTAAGATCAAAACGGAGCTTGCAGCTGTAATTGCGTTTTAGGGGAGCTGCGTGAACCGAAAGCGTGTGGTCAAATGCTGCGTTTCATTTTGCAATACCTCATTTAAGTCAATCTGTTCCTCTGAGTCACATTTAAAAACTTGCCTTTTGATTTGAATGTTAAAAGCATTAAAAATTATAGCCCCCAATTTGCATAGTGGTGTCTCGCTTACGTACTGTCGCGGAATCTAAACCAATGAAAAAAAGCAATGTGTTCTGCCCTCGTTTCTATAAGGTTTATTTTGCCGAGATCCCGACAATCGCGCACAAAACTACTTACAATCTCTTATTTCAATCTTTTTATTAGCTGATTAAGAGCGTATTTCTTTTGCTTTTTACTTTTTTCATCGACCTATTTTGGGGAGAAAGTAAATAAATCATCAAGTTTTTCTGCACATCAATTTTTTCTGCATTTCAAAAATAGAACAACATTTGCATAACGCGTACACGTGGAGGAGAACTTACTCGACTTCCCGTTGGAAAAAAGTTTTCTTTTATTTTTTGTCCATGGGAAGGGTTTAGGACACATGTTTCAAAAACAGTTTAGTTGTTCTCCAATTCTCTTTTTTTGCGTCGCCACAAGCCAAAAATGATTTTTGGCTAGACCACCCGTGTGGACAGCGATCGAAAGTTTAAATTTCATAGATTTTGTACAGCGCGCAGCGACTGCAATAATATAGCTTATGGAATTCTATCTTGCTACAAGTTACAAGATGTCTTCTGTTAGTTCACAGACAAAATATGGAAACTTCAGCTGTGTGACCTTCAAGGGTCACAGGGTAAGCCAATAGCTCTAGGAGCCAACTCGAACGCACGAACGCACCAGCCAAGAGTATAAAGACGTCTTTTGACATGGATAACAGTGATGGCAAAGCAAGCTTAAAACGGCAGAAATCGCCAGAAACTACGACGGATACACAGGGCATGAGTAAGTTTTATTGATTTTACGTGTAGAATATTCATATTTCGAAATATTTATCGTTGTAAATCGACCATATTTCGTTCCCCATACTATTCCTTATAACGTGTTCAAATTTTCAACGGTTCCTCCCGTAACTTAACACCGAGTCACACAACGCGTGACGCGTTCATGAATTCATTGTTGGCTTTTTTTCTCGAGACGTGAGCTTGGGCCGCCTGTGGTTATAACGCTTGCGCGCTTGCGTGACTTTCTCGATAATTTTCCTTGAAATCTAAGGTCATGAACTACGCGCAGTGTGGAGAAGATCAAAATTAAAGAATAAAGTTTGGCACTTTAGTCATTACAAACATATCACGTTGCTTAAAGGACACACAAACAAGTTGAAATACCTTTCTGTGTTATTTACAAAACAACACGAATACACTGTGAAAGAATTCTTGCAGTTTCTCCCGAGATTTTGCACACGGAACGCGATGAACTAGCCCTCCTTTGTTTCCATCATTACTTATTTTACGTTGTTATGGACCACAACGGTTTTGACTAACAAACTCAACATTTCCCTACGACCATTAAAATCAACTGGACAAACCCTGCTTGATGTATTGCGTGACGTGATTGTGCAATTTTTTCTCTTGTCAGAAGACCTATTTCGCGGAACCAAAATTAGTAAATGTAGCGAATTATAATCGAAAGCTATTAAAATAGACTGAAGAGTTTTACATTTTGCTAAGAATCTAATCTTTTAAAATGTTTACTTTATTCATGAAAAGCAAAGATTGTGGTAGCTGTGAGATCAATTATAAATAGAAATATCTGAACAGTGAATAACTGACTTTAAATTCTGTTTTCAACACAATGAGGTAAAACAAATCTCATCAAACCAAACCTAACCTAGAATTAAACAGGGTAGTATTTAAGGCATGAAATTGTTGTCTTATATTTGCGATTCTCACTTTTTCGTTCGCTTTCGTGGTGTTCTAGAACTAAAGCAATAACTGACCCAGACTTCGGCCATAAGAAAAAAAACTTTCCCATAGATTTCGAAAATGCGGAGATAATCCGAAACTTCGTGAATCACTAGATAAAATGAAATTCTAACTGAACTTCGAGCCATATTACTAAAGTACGACAGTTTTTTTTTTGAAGAAACATTTGTATAGAACTAAACTTACATTACATTACTCTACTTACATCACTCGACATCACTTTATTTATTACATTTCTGTATATATTGGATTAGTCACCAGTACTTATTTCTTACTTATACAAACTGTCACTTAGTAACCGTCACTTACAGCGTAATGTTAACTTACATTACATTACTAAACAGAACATGACTCACAATACATTACAACTCAAAACTCGCAATTCGCTAATTAAGCTCACCAGTGCCTACCTATAATTACTTGAGTACTTTACCAAAAAAACAAATAAAAAATGGAGGCAAGTTTGGATAGAAACAACAGTAGTGAAATTGATAATAATAACATCTACACACACATACACATACACAACAAACAAACCATAAAAATTTTGAGAGTGTTCCATCCTCATGCTCCTGTTCGGTTTACGTCCTCATTTTCCGTACAGTTTATCATCCTTAGGAATTTCGTGTTTCCTTCATACGTTTTCTAGATCTTCCAGGTCGTTTATTTTAATCGGCCTACCTTCTGGTGAAGTCTTCACGTAAATTTTGCAATCTAGGGTCCAAACACTCAGCAAAACTCCATCTCTTCTCATTTCGTTCGCACGGTTTTATTTTCTTTCTGTAAGACGTGAAGTTTTCGTGCCGAAGATACGGTCTCCCGCTGCACGTGTAGCAGCGGTGGCGCTAGGAAATAGATTGGATACTTTGATGTTTTTAGTTTGGCTCTTTATTTGTAGATGTTTCTCTTGATTTTGTGGTTGGCGAATTTAACAGTTATTGGTTTGTTTCCTTTACGTTTCAATTTGCGGGAAATCTCCTGAGGAGAAATAGAGACTTCGAGCACTTCTGCTAACTTCAATATTATCTCCTCTGTTGTGCTGTAAGCGCTCTCTGGAACACCATGTATCTCAAGAGAATTTTTCCTCGTATATTGCTCCATTCTATCTTGTAGCTCATACAGTTCATATATTTCGTCTTGTTGTTCGTTGACACGTTTCCTCGCTGCTGCTAGTTCGTATTCGGCGTCAGCACATTGTTTTGTAATCTTCGTTTGCGAGTTTTTAAGGTAAGCGATTTCGAGCTTCTGTTCCCCAACAGTTGTTGTGAGTTCGACCAACTCATTCCTTACACTCATATTTTCTAGGAGAATATTTGAAATGTTGGTTTGGATATCGACCAACATTTCTTTGAGCTCCTCAAGGCTTGTTTCGGTGGCGGTGATTGCTGGTTCTTCAGTTGTTGGCTTCTGATCCTGCCTGTCTTCCATGGCCGCCATATTGGCGCGTTTACAGGTGTTGGTGTCTTCTTCAGTTTAACCACGAGCTCTTCTCTTATGTTTTTTACTCCCAGTCATTAGCTGACTACGAGTCGACCTAGGCACTTTTTTTTTGTAACCAAAGATTTGTGATTATTAGCAATTTATAAGAAATTGAGGACATTAAAACTCTCCTTCGACAAACGCACATCCGCAAGTCAAGCCCGCGCAAGATCCTTCCACGACGGTTATGATGTGGTCCGTTGTGAAGTCAAAGGAGCAGCTGTAACTGTCTGTTTAAGTGGAGTTGGCTTCTTTCCATTTTGCAACACGTCATTCAAATTAGCTGTAATATGTAGATCTGTTACTTCGAGTCGCATTTTTAGAACTTGCCTTTGGACACCACACCAGTTAATTTTAACTTATCAACAGGATGCATAGGCTAAAGAGCCAATATTGATGAAATATTCCGTGGGAGAGTAACAAAGGGAATTTGGAAGGTGCAGCAGACGGAAGAAAATTCGTTCCTTAATTAACTTACTTAGGACTCGAAAAGTAGAGGAAAAGGTGTGTAAAAGTTATTGCACAAATACAGATACCTAAATCTTGAATCGACATTCGGATCCTCGCGCACCTGTTAGCTTCCTTGTGGTCGCTTATTTCCAGCATTATAAAAAACGTGAAAACTACTTGCCTTGTTGTTGTCGCTTCTGTGAGGAAAAAAAAGCGCAAAAGCCGACCATAAATGTTCCTCGCTTTGTTCCATGCACAATTACACCAGCGAGATAGACATGAGGCCATTTTGGAACGTCAAAATCTTTGACTACCTCTAACTACACCAGATAAAAAAGCAAATAAAGTTCACTGGTGAATGCTTACTTTAGTAAGAAAACAATTAGGCCAACAAGGGACAAAGTAATACACCAAAGATAAATCAAAATTTATAAGCCGAAATTTATGTGATCTGATGAGTGTCAGAAATATTAGATGTTCCCACTCGCAACTTTAGCTTCAGATATCATGGTGAAATAATTTGTGAACCCTTCTGAAGGAGACTTACACCGCTTTGACTGGTTTAGTTCCTTTGTTTCTCAGACACGTCTGAAAACAACATCCTTTTGAATATCTAGATTTAATTCATTGTATCCACCCATAACGAAAAGGATCTACAAAGTGAAAATCTAGTTCTCCAATGCCTCCAAACAAAAATGTTTGACTTGTTGTAGCTATTTGGTGAGGTCAGCTCCAGGACATTGTATTTCACACTTAGTAATTTGACTTACGTACAAAGTGGGATGTGACATGACTTTAGCTTATGTTTTAGGCCTAGGAAGTCTAAATTATATTTGATTCAGAATGGGAAGTTAAAATTTTGTGCGTGCCATTGAGATTTGAAATGGCCTTGACTTCATGTCTGTCTCGCGAAAAACCATCCTAAATTTTCGCATTTTTACGAATAAATAACACAAAATGGGATACGCAACGAAAAATTAACACCACCAATCCGTTGCATTATGTTCATTATGTCAACGTGACATGATCTTTGCTTCCTACGTCACGAGAAGTCTTAGTTTTTCACATCTACTACGCGCAAACTTGTTGACCGTGAGATGAATTTCGACTCCAAACCTTGGTTAGAAACGCACGATTAATTTTACACAGGTTATTAAACGTTATAAGGCTGGATCTTATACCGTATTTATTCGACTATAAGCCGAACGATTTTTACACAAATTAATACTGAAGTGAATTAAAATTTGGGCTTTAAAGGGGGGTCTCGGCTTATGGCCGAAACTGTTTTTAAAAAAAATTTTCTAGCGCATGGAAACTTTACTAAATCGGGATGTATTTACTTCTAAGTCAAGCTAAAGTAAAGAAACACAATATGCAATCATTGGTTATTAACTTTTAATTCGAATTCGAGAGTGCGACTTGATGGTAGTTCGAATCGCATCGTCTAAGCCTTATTTATGACAATTGACGTGATTTTTTTTTTCAGAAAATGTTAGGTTTCCCGTAGTTAACAATTAAGTCTTGTAATAACGAATGGGTCTCGGCTTATAGCCCGGTGTTTTCGATTTATTTTTGGTTCTCGTTATGCCGAGTCTACACGCACAATGTTTGAAGTCTCGGCTTATAGCCGAATAAATACGGTATGTTTTTAAAAACAAAGACAATTTTATATTTATCTCCCTACTCTGCAATTTTGAACTCGTCCCACGCTCGTGACAAGACGAAAAAATACATTAATTTCATTACCGCCTTAAAAATTCACCAACTTTCTTTTAAGAAAAACAATCGTCTCCATAATCCTTTATTTTCATAAATGTTTTTACATCTATTCAGTTAACAGCCACTAGACTTTTCGACGTCGCAACTTACTCGCACACAGTGATCGTGATCAGTGATTGTACTCAATTGTTAACCAGACTTCAGTCGAACTGTGTAAACATTGTTTGGTTAAGATATTTTCGAGGAGCTTTTCAAGCCACAGAATATAATCAATTCCAAAGGAAGTTATTGAACAACAAACCACTGTGGTTGAAAAGTATAAAAATTGCATGGCAACGGTGTTTTCTAGGAGCTTTTCGGTGTGTGTGGTAGAAAAGTATAAAAATTGCATGGCAACGGTGTTTTCTAGGAGATTTTCGGTGCAACAAAAATGTTATTCACGCAACAGATCAATTCACGAAGAAGTTGTTGAACAACAAACGTGACGCGCGTGTGACAGATTTTTGTGATTAATTCATGCCATGTGCTTCAATGATCGCTTCTTGAATGTGAGTGAATCGGTAGAAAGGAAGCCCGAAAATAAACCTTTACTAAACCTGGAAGATTGTCCGCACGATCTCTTCAATTTTGTTTCAGCGTCCAATTTTATTTCAGCTCGAGTTGGACAAATTAAAAGTGATATTTGGTGCGGCTCTAAGAATAGCAGCAAATTATTGTTTTCACGGTTATAACTTTTTGACAGCTGTCATCGAGACGTGAGAATTAAATGGCGGGATTTTATAGGGAAAATATTCACTCTAAGCTGACATCGCTGCTGGCATTTGTGCTTTCTTCTACGATACATTTCTTTTAATTTATACCAATTTTCTTTACGTGTATATCAATTTGATTGTAGGTGGTACGTAATATATGTACAATTTGCATTTACATTCTTTAGTTCAACCTCCCTCCCTCGAGGTTCATGTTCAGTGTTTGGCTTTGCATTCGGGAGGGTTCAGGTTTCCTCCTCAGGTAAAAAGAGGGTTTTTCCTGACGGGTAGCACACATTTGTAATTTACACCAGCGATCATAGAGCTGTACGTCAGAGTTTGTTGTCAACATTATAATTTCTTCTTGTTTACGTGATTGTATAATTAAACGGGGACTGATGCTTGCTTTACGCTGGGCCTTTATCCAGTGCAGCAGTCAGTTTCCCTATTTCACAACGAGTAATTCACTGTCCCAATTGTCTCCCATTTCGAAAGTAGGGAAAAGGGAAAACTACGCCTGTTGGGTGGTCGTTGGCGAAGGAACAGTTGATGTTTAAAGGCTCGTTAGAAGTCACATTAGAAACATATCCAAATAAATGAGCAGGTGTGAGAGTATGAGACTATCCCTGAACACCTGCTCAATTATGAGTTGGTAAAAACTATGAAAATCTTTTTACGCCTGATAATTTCATTTTGAGTGATTTTTAGTTAACCGATATATTTCATTACCCTTTCATAGTAGATTTGTAGATTCAGATTTTATTCTTTCGCATTCAGATGTCGTCTCGATTGTCAAGCACTCCTAAGGTGTTCCCTTGGGATTATTACACAGGTGAAATATGCATGTTAAATCCTTCTTTAGAATAATTTCAGGATAAGAAACCCACTGGAACGTATATCTTTTATTTAAAGTTTAATGGTAAGGACTAGGGGTAAATATTTTCAAGAGCTAAACAAGGAAGACAGAAATGTCGGCTGCCTTGCTAAGTAAATAGGTTTATCACTTTGGACGAAATCGCAGAGTAGTCAGCTTTTCAGGTATAGGTAAAGAGGAAAAATGCGTTAACTTCCCATAACAACTTTGTTCGATTCACCGCCTGTGAATCTAATTGTTATGTTATATTTGCGATTTTCGACAAATTACAACAAATTACGACAGATACGAAGTTGTGTCGATCTGTTCCTTACGAGACGCATTTCAATTAAAGCTAGCCTTTTGATTTGAAATTTGAAAGCATTAAAACTTGCCTGATCGTTGCTCCGGTGAGGAAATGCAGTACTGTAACTGGCGGTACATTTTTCTTAATCCATTTGAAAAAGGCTCAGTCACACGGCGAAGGAAAGCGGGAATTCTAAGCGCCATCTTACGCACGTTGTGCAGTGAGTGTGAAATACAAAAGGGGCCTATAGTCCTCTTTAAAAGTCCACCCTGTGCGATTGAACTTGATTGGAAAAGGCACCATTTATTATTAAATCTGAGCCAATAAGACAAAGTTAAACAAAGAAATGTCAGTCAACACTGTTGTCAACTTTGTCAACTTCGGTTGGTGAGGCACCATATGGGTGAGGCATTTTAGCCTCGAGGATGCTTGACCTTGTTGAACCAGACAATACTCAAAAGATCACTATGGAATTTGCAAGGTTTGCAAGTTGTTTCTCTCATATATATGATCCCGTATTAAATACATCAAACGGCTTATTTTGTAGAAGTACTAATTGAATGTCTGTTCTTTTTTGAAATGTTATCGTTAGACGTCTGGGTAATCGAGCAGCTTCCTAATAATGCGTCATCAAAATCTGACGTTCTTACGCCTAATTTGCATAGAGTTTTTTGACAACACTTTATGGAAATTTTGAGAAAGTAAAGCTACTATTAGAAATAACTAATCACAGATTCACAGCCATAGGGATATCGGAGACATGGTTAAATGAGACTACCTTAGATCTGGTTGAAATATCGGGCTACAACTTTATTTCTAATCATAGCATAAATAAATCCGGCGGCTAAAGTTGACCTTTATTTACTGGATAATTTAGGAT